GTCGCGCTCAAGCCCTCGTGTGTTCAGTGCAGTAGAAACAATTTGGGTTTATTTAGCGGCGTCCGATTGCGAGCACACTTCAGGAGCTGTACCGAAAACTTGGACGTATTTTAATGTGTTGAGAGATGCTTCGGTCATAGTGGAGGACAAAAGAGGATTCTTGAGACCTGCACAGCACAGATGGCTGGGGGGGAAGGGAGTTCCAGACTATGGAGGAGATGCACGACTATTGGGCAGTGGAGGGAGAGAGCGTGGCGGTGAGCGCCGTGCAATCTCGCACGGGCTGTACTTCGTGAGATAGGCGTCAAGCCGGCGGACGTGACCTTGCCTGAGCGGACACTGTCACGGTGATTTTCCACACCGATGGCGACGCTGCAGTGTCACACGGGAGATAGAGGTTTTAGGGAGACCGGGCCCTACGCCGTACATCTCTGCAGCGCCGTGCGCAGACGTGTGCTCCCGCCTGCGCTGTGCGATCGCGACTCGTGCTTCATCAGCGCCACGCATGTCTGGCCCCCCGATATTTGATACGGACGTCAACATGGCCCTGCCCACACTGCGCCCGCACCGCACACCTCCAATGAGCACTTTGGCTACGTACGGCGCAAAATAAATTCAGCATGCATACTTACACCGACATTTCCAAATTGGCACCGTTCGGGCTTAATTTCTCACCGAATATTTCCCGGGTCGCTGGTAGATTGAGAGTTGGCACGTGACTAGCAGCCAGAGCCATAACAGGAGTTATACCGGATGTGGTGTGTCGGTGCGGGGATATTTTCCCTGCCACTGACTGAGACAGACGCGGCTGAATTGGAGCCCCGCGCTAACGTTGGGGAGTTTTTACTGACGAACCGGTTCGTGGGTGGCAGCCCGTGTGAATTTCAGATCGAATGGTGGCACAAAGCAGAGGCGGTTCCTCCTGCTAATAGCAACAACGTCATTGGCGATGAAACCACTTCGTAGCATTCGACATCAAAGAAAACAATTAGTCCTGCCAAAAATGCATGCTTGCAATGATACGTGACTTTTTTGTGTACGAATGTATTTATATTCGTGTGTGTTGTGTTCTAGTCTTTCGTATGGCAGCAACTTGTTCGGGAGATAGATGCCATTGTCGAGGTCTGTTAGCCAGGAGCACAGACTTTGGTGGTTTATCCAAAATAAAGCTTTTCTTTTGGTGGTCAAGAAAGTCTTCGTGTTCTACAGTGGTTTACTTTGTGGTCCATAGTTTGGAGTTGCATGGCCACAAACGCACGACTGTGGCCTGCATGTCTTGTCATGTAGTTCATGGTGACCCCTGCAGTCACTAGAGGCGCTACATTCACCACGTTGTTAAAGCGGAATCGGTGTTTATTTGAATCAGATCCTCATCCGTGACATTTCAGCAAACGATGGAGGGAGGTGGGGTGCATGAATAGTTCCACCACCAGTAATATTGTTTGCACGTAGAAAATAAGATTATCTTCAAATCACTGGATGGTTACCCAAACACAAAGCTTTATGATCTCATAGTATGAATACGAATGACGAGATTCCACGGAGGTACATCAAGTATATCTGCTGAGGTTGTCTTGACCAGCTAAAGCACGACTTATAATAATTTCTCTCCTCGCAGAATATTAATCATGTTTAAAGAAAAACCAAAAGCATTGTTTAATTCACCAAAATCGCACGTGCTCTTGTACGAGGGCTGCCAGAGATGGTTTGGGAGTGCTAATCATTGACTAAGTTGTAAGGAGTAACCAAACTACGACACTAAAAAAAAAAATTCCACGTAAGGCCCACTAAAAATAATAGCTCAACGAAGTGGCTTATCGTATGGACATTTATAGACACCAAATACTCTAAACGCATGTTCCTAAATGTGGAGGGAAAAACCGGAGTGCCTGGAGAAAAGTCCACGTTATCACAGGGAGAACATGCTGACTCCAAATATCCAGCAGGCGTCAGGGTCAGGATCGACCCGACAACCTCCTGCATACCAGGCGTAGCAGGGTTTAATTCTAAGACCAGTCCAGATAAAGTAAATAACAATTTATGGACGAAGGACATGTCCATCTGCAGTAGACGTACAGGCTACAATACTCCTGCGTTTGAGAGAAGGCCTGGATAACGTTCGTGCGGTGGATTGTGCACTAGGAGTGATGTCTGTGCCGTCCCTTGAACTCCCCCCATCACCAACGTACACCGGTCAGCGTGGTGCAGTATGCTCGATTAGATCAAGTTACTCCCATGACCAACAAGTGACGAAGGGACTGTTAAAAGGGAATTCTGAAACAGGTTTTTTTTTTAAATGACGTGGAATGAACATTGGGCCTCTGTCATTTGTAGCAGCAGCAGCAGCTGTCATTGTGAGTGGCTCTCGCGGTGCTGGGTGCGGACGACAGGGCTGGGGCGGCGGGGGGGATGGGGGTGCGACGTTGCAAAGTTGTGATGCCTGGGCGGGCGCACGTGCACCGTATGCCTCCTCAGATTACATGCAGAGCATGGCGGCGCAGGCGCTGCTGTTTTTCTGGCTCATCGTGGAGGGCTACCGCGTGACGGCCGAGCAGCAGCTGGACGCGCTGCACACGCGGGAACGCGTCGGCGCCCCGCGCCACGCGCCGCCCACGCACAACCTCGTCGTCATGCTGCGCAACGCCGCCATCGGAGTCTACGAGCAGTACCTCGGCGAGAAGGTGGCCGGCGCGCGAGCGACCGGGCGGCGTCGATGCTGGCGCGCAGCTCGTTTGTACAGAACAACTGTCGAGTCGTATGGTGGCGACTGTTGCCCAGCACTAGCGTGCCATGTGTGTGTGTGTGCGTGTCCCACGGGAACATCAGTGACGAGTCATACCTTTGTCGACTTGGCCTTAAATGAGTACCTGGTGCGATGTGTAAACATCAGCACTGGGGAGACAAGTGACTGAGCATGGTTCTGGCCACACCACTCACTCCTTTGTTGCACTCGCATTCAATGTTTCTTTGCTAACAGCACTTCCCCTACCAGTCTACGTTGGCTACACAGGAAGTCTTTCTCATTGTCCCACGTACCTTCAGCCGGGTTGGATATAGTCAACTCCGTAGGCAAACTGGACGAGGCACAGGGTTCACCTTGATTGGTAGGCCTCGCCGTGCCAAAAACCCAAGCCGACGCTGACCGCTGTGGTCCTGGAATCGGCCGAGTGGCTGGACAGGGTTGGGGGTCGTTGAAAAAGACCTCGGCTAGTGCGGCCCAGCCCTACTGCCCACGCTCCAGTCCACCTCCGCACGCGCACCTGGGCCGCTTGCGCCAACACCAATAGAGGAGCCACTTGCAGCTTAAAACCAGCCGGCTTAGCGCGAGCATGGGCCACGGTCTGGTAATTGAAATTTAGCAGTGATTACAGGATTAGACGTTTAATCTGTAATCTATGAGAACTCGCTTCAAATTTAACCCAAATGTTTGCATTTTGTCATCTATTCACCTGTATTGACATCGGCCGTTAATGATGTTTGTGTGTGTGGCACGTGATGCCCTGCGCTGCATGCAGGCGTCCCCTCGCGTCCGCGTGGAAGACTTGATGCTGGCCAACTTACGCGAGAAGCTGCACAGGGAAGATCTTCCTCCCAACTTGTTCCCGGCCCTCTTCGATGACATCCAGAGGAAGGTTGGTCCGCCAGTCGTACTTTGTTTTTGGGTCTGTTGTCATCGTTTTGCTTTTTTTATGGGGCAATAATTGCGGTGTTTATTTAACATGGCGCGACTAAGAACCCTAATTGTAGTGTACGCATGTTGGTCACCAATCCAAGATTATCTTCTGAGATCTGACAAGATTTAAACATGGGCAAAAATAACTTTACGTAAACTGTACACACAGTTAGATTTGCAGTGTGTGTATATGTGTCATTATTTTAATATTGTGTATAATTATTAAAGTACTCACTGGATGTGTGTGTGTGAGTGTGGACCTAGCGTGGCGCAAGTGACGTGATGTCGTCACCACCACTTGGTGACAGATGCGGGTTGTATGTTTGCACAGTGTGTTTGTATGAAACTGGGCTGGCACAAACACCGTGGTGACATCACCACCACTTCTTGGTGAAATGGCGACTTTACGCACTTGAGTTTTGTGTGCGTGCCTGTGTACGTATGTGTGTTTGTATGTGTGTGGAGAGCTGTGGTTCAGTGGTCAGTGCACTGCTTTGTGGACCTCTTGACCTGGTTACAGCTAACATCTCAATGGCAAGTGATATTCTGAACTGGTCTTGGGGACCTCCCCGATGTCAGCTCAGCCTTAAATGGGTACCCGGTACAATGTGCTTACATCAGAACTGTGAAGGCAAGGTGGCCAGGCACGGTGCTGGCAAAACTACCCCATCGTGCGCCGTGCCAACCTTAATACGTGCTCACTGACGGCACTTTCCGCAACACTCCGTTAAAGGCTCCATTGGGGGATCTTTGTCCGTTTTCTGTGTATGTGTGTGTGTGTGCGTGTGTGAAGGTGTACGATACCATGCTTCGAGATGACCGCTACTACCGGGCTTCAAGCAAAGCTCGTTTTACGTCAAAGCGCTGGCCGAGCTGGACATGCTCAGGAGCCGAGCATCCGGGAGGGGGATGATTCGGGTAACGGAGCTTCTGGGATGGGGATGATTGTGGGTAACGGAGCTTCCCGGAGGGAACGATTCGGATAACGGAGCTTCTGGGATGGGGGACGATTCGGGTAACAGAGCTTCCGAGAGGGGAACGATTCGGATAACAGAGCTCGCTAGCTGCGCACGGCACACGGCCGCTTCCGGTGACGACCCGCAGGGAGATTCCCATTGATGCGGCCCCACGCGATGGAGGTCGCGGTTTGAGTTTTGAACTTTAGTCGAGCTCTGCGTTTGTTGCTCTCGCTTGTCCGAAGTCCATTATCTTCACCCTGCATCGGTTGCCTCTCGAGCGTCACCAGTGGCGCGCACGCACAGCCCTTTTGTCAATGCCCTGTTGGGTTCGGGCTCCCCACGCCAATGCGAGCCGTGCCGGTTGTCTGACCGTACTTAACAGCCGCTCGTCAATGGGAGTTGGTGAAGATGGTGGGGAGGGGAGCGTAGAAGTGGGAGAGTTGATGCCCAGTACAATGACGGGTTTTGCTGTGCTGCCATTCGCCGCCCTCCACGGCCTATAACAACCGGACGTGCACGTTCATCACCCGCGTGGTTTAAAACAATTCACTTGCGCATTTAGCAGCACTCTTGTAGCACCGTAAAGTCTGTATCCCCAGGGGGTTATGGTGAATGATACATTTACGTGAACGTCTTTTGTTTGACAGAATCCTACAATGGGTCCTCCGGCGAGCAGCTTGAATGTGGTAAGAGAAGACAATGTCACAATACGTGTGCGATTGCGCAACTGTAGCCTAGTAAAGGATTAGGAGTGAGTTTTTTTTTTATAGTAAGCTCATTTTTTTTGTGTGCTTAGCTTGTTGTCCTTCCCCCGCACCTCAGATTTCGCATGGGTGGCTGCATACGGTGCGACGGACGTTCT